GTAACTATTTATTTCATAGTGTTAACATAAATATATTAAAATGATTATTTATTTCATATATAAATAGTTATATTTATGTTAACACTATGAAATAAATAATTTATGCCCAATATCACTTTACTTGTTCTTAAGACAAAATAAAAATAAAACTAACTAAGATTTTTATAAATAAATAAAAAAAGTGATTTTTTTATTTAGTTGTTTTAGAATACAAAAATTACTAAAATTTATAGGTTATTGACACAGAATAAAATTAAAATGAAACTAACTAAGATTTTGAAAAAAAAGTGATGCTATTTTATTTATTTATTTTTTATTTAGTAGGTTCAGAATACAAAAAAAGTTGAAATTTATAAGTTATTGACATAAAACAAAATTAAGAAATGAAAAGGTGATCCCTTGAATTTTTTTTAATTAAGTAGCTTTAGAATATAAAAATTGTTAAAAATTATTAGTAGTAGACACAAAATAGAGTTAAAATTTGCAAAAATAAGATATCAGAAAGCTTATTTTTTAACTATATAAAATTTAAATTTTAAAAAATTATAGGTGCCTTTTAATTTTTACCTAATTTTTAAATTACTACACCTCAGTTCTTATTTTTGAGATTTTTTTTTAATATTTTTTTTCACAAATTTTAAAAGGAAAATTTTGCCATAAATCTCTTAGGAGACACTTATATTGTTAAAAGGATAAGAATTATATAAGTACTTTCAAAAATCCTTAGTAGTTTAAAACATTATTCTTATCATTCTCATACTGTTTGTCTCCACTATCTCATGTGAGATTGATGACCTCAGATATGAGATTTGTTACCTTAAGATTTGAAAATCGATAATTCGTTCGGTATCTTTTTGACTTTGTTTCTCTCTCTCTCTCTCTATTTCTTTCTTTCGTTCACTCCTTCTCTTGTAAATCTCTGTTTTTTGTTCATTCCCTTTTTTTTATTTGTTCACAGGCAAAATCGTAAATTTTACTCCGATTTAAAGTAAAATTTACTTTGATTCATAGTAAAAAAGTAAAATTTTGTCCTTTTAACAAAATAGAGGGAGCTGTGAGGGAGTTTTGTCGTAAATTTTACTCCGATTTAAAGTAAAATTTACTTTGATTCATAGTAAAAAAGTAAAATTTTGTCCTTTTAACAAAATAGAGGGAGCTGTGAGGGAGTTTTGCAAGTATAATTTTTTTTTTTTTTTTTTTTTGTCCTTTTGACAAAAAACGAAAGGTTTGAGGGACTTGTGGCCAAATCTCCCATTTAAAAAAATTATGGGTGACCTTTAACTATTATCCAATTTTTAGATTATTACCCTTTTCTCTTCTTCTATTATTAGAGTTATATTAGGAATTTTTTTTCCCAAATTTATCTTATTTTACTTTTGAATTTTTAAATTTTAACTTGATTTCTTTTTTTCAATTTTCTATATTATTATAGTTCATCCTCAAATTTAAACTTTTTTTTTCTTTATCTTATACTTACAGAATCCACTTTCACTATTGATTTTCAGTTGAGTTTATTCTTTTTCAAAAATTTATGTAATTTTCTCGTTCTATATTCATCTTCAAAACTTATTTTATATTTATAGAACTTCACTCTTACTCTTCTTTTTCAATTGAGTTTATTCATTTGAGTGTATTTCAAAAAAATTAATTAGTCATGCATATCTATATAAATATAGTGAAATCATACAAATTTATTATTTAAATACTCATCTAAATTAATATCATAATATTTAGTTAATTTTTAACATGTTTAGTAGTATTTATCACATTTTGTTACTTGCTCGTGCATAACACAGGCTTTACACTAGTAATTAATAAGACAAAATATCATATTGAATCTATAATTATTTTATTTTTTCTCTTATAATTATCGAATCAATTAAAAAAATTAATTTTTATCATAGACATAATTTTTTTAATCAAATTAAAATAATAAAAAAATCAAATAATCAAATAATATAAACTATCGCACTGCTGGGGATTCCCAGTGGGGATGACGCCCAACACCCCACCTCCACGTAGGGGACTGTCTAAGCACGACTTAGAAAAATAAAAAATAAAAAATATTTTCGCCAATAAAAAAACAGTGAAGGTGGTGGGATCACCCCCACTGGGTCCAATGCATTTTCCATAAACTATTTTTAAACGGTACGAAGTCGCCAAACCAACCAATTTCCCCTCATTTGCCTATGTGGGGGGCCAAAGATTCTTTTTCACACTGTTTGTTTCCTCCAATGTCATTATGTATGGCCACTGTTGATTGTTTTATTTTTCATGTTCATTTTAAAATTCTTGTCGTTTTTCTTTAGATTTGTTTGTTTAATTTTTTTTTTTGACAAAACTACAAATTCATTTTTATTAATTCAAAATTTATTTAGAAAAATAAATTAATAACTTAGATTCATTTCATATATGAATTCTACATTTTATCAATTTAATCTCCACTATATAAATATATTCTAAATAAATTCAAGATCCGTAAGGATAATTCCTAATATTTGTCTTATTTTTTTTTTCTAAAATTCATCTATGCTAGCGATCTAGAAAACATACTTTTAAAATACCTAGAAAAAATAATGGATGGTTGAGATTTATTTCATATGTAGATTTCATTATGTATGTGTCAATTTCCGACTACACTATCAACCCAGCATTCAGCTGGAGAGCACTGGCAGAATAGATAGCACCTGATTGACCTGCAACAGAAAGAAGAGATTCCGGCGGTGGTTCGTCCACCCGGGGACACTCCGACGATCAAGTCAGTTATCTCTCAAAGATAAATCAACTGTTTAACTCACTGTTCAGAATATAAATTGCGTACCTTAGACCCATGGGGGTGTCTCTCTTTTATAGTTAACTCAATCCTAGTCCCAATAGAAGCCTTGCTTCAATGGACTTTAGCTCAGTACTTATCCTGGACTCTTCAATAGATAAAGATAAACTCCGTAAGAGTTTTATCCTTATCTAGGCTGAAGTCCTTCCTCATTCTAAGACCTTTGTCCCTTATCCGCTTATCCCGGATTCCAATATCTTCGGAGATAACCTCGGCCTAGCCGAGATCACCTCGGCGTCATGACCAGGGCACGTGGCACATCAGCTTACACGTCGGCGTCACCTTGGCCACGTGTTGGTACTCAAAAAATATATCTCCACACATTATATAATAATTTATATTGATTTCTCTTAATTTTTTTTAAAAAATACAATAAATCCCATAAATTTAGCATAGTTATACTAGCCTTCTTTAAGGTTTTAGTGATTCATATAGCACCTAACTAAATTTTTACCAAAAATTTATTACTTGTATGAATGAAAAAATAATATTGTCATATCTTTTACATTAAATAAATATCTTACCTTGTGTATCTTTGTGTCTTCATATAATCTGTATTAATTTTGGTATTTTTAATCTTACTAAAAAGAAAGTCTATGTAATTATATTAAAACTATAAAACTTATTATATTTTTTTCAAACATCAAAGATAATTTACCCATAATTAAATCTAAACTGCATGCACATTCATTTTATGATTAACTTTCTAGGTTAATCTTCTAGGCTCTGTTTAACATTTTGTTCTTTTTAATTCCTTGCGGATATGAAGACAAGGGAGGAAATTTCACTCTTTTTTAATGGTTCATTCACTCATGTCCGTATAAGACAATTGAGAAAGTGCCACATTTGTTTCTATCATTTTTCCCAAAAACAAAGGATTCTATAGTCTTTCGTAAAAGTTGTTTGTTTGGTTTATTTGTCACGCAGGTCACCGGGCAATATACGGAAATTTAATTTTAAAATAAAAAATTAATTTTAAGTCTTAATATTTTTTATATAGAAAAATTTAATAATTGAAAATTAAATACAAATAATTTTACTAATAGTTGATGGAATTTTTTGTTACTTTGTATGTGATTCTATGTAAAAAGCTCATAAAAATAATTTCTTTTAAAATAAATAAAAAATTTGTGTATTCTCAACCTAAAATTAAATCCTCATTTGGGTTAATCAAATTTACCAAAAATCATGAAAATATTTTATTTTTGAAAAAAATAAAAACAATGGAAAATTTTATAATATACAAATTATGAGTTTGTTATAACTCATGGTGTATTATTTTAGTTATTAATCAAAAAGGTCTTTACTAATTTCTTATATTTTTTGCTATGTTTAAAGTGGTACACCGAGTCTTTAATTATTCTTCAAATAGTATTTGATTATGATCAATTATAATATTTTTATATGACAATATTTAAATATTTTATTGTACAAAAAAGTGTTCAAGGTGGGTTGACTCAAAGGTATGATTTGTACTTATATCAGTAAGATTGTAAGAGTTATTCACATTAATGTATAAAAAATTATAAATTCAAATCATAAACAGTGTTGTCAAAGGGAATTAGACGCAAAATCTCTATCTCTTAATAATTTCAGTTTTTAAAAGGATTCTGATTAATTATGTGACACATCATAATAACTGCAAATGTTTTTATTACAACCAAATTATTTTTGCATGTCTTTTCTAACAGAGCTCATGAAGGTACATTATCAATAATACTATAAATTCAAAATTTTTATTTAAAAATTATTCAAAAAATATCAACATGTATCTTAAATATACACAATCATTTTCGATGAATCATTATTCTTTAAAATAATACTCCACACTATTTATCGTTTGACTTGTGTCAATTTATCTTCTAAAAACAAAAAAGTATTGATCTCTATTATTTTAATCAATTAATACCAAATTGGATGCTACACATGTATGTAAATCACTTCCTGAAATATGATGTCTAATATAAAATCACGATGAAGTTAACTTTAATTAATATAATGATATTTTATAAAGAAAATTAGTCTAAGTTCTCTATCCCATTTTTAGTAATGGGAGAGGTTCACAATATTATTTTGTGATGTCTAAGGTCCCTCACTCATCTCATCCATCCAATCGTGGTTCAACTTCACACTTCTCCACGCCAACTTCCAAAACCTCCCTCTCTCTCTCTCTACACACGCATATATATATACACTTTTTCTGCTTACTTTCCCTGGCGGAGAACCGGTTCCGTGTTCTAGAGGTGAGCAAAGACAGTTGTTCGGCGATGGACCTAAATTCTCCTCTGGTGAAAATAGTGGCTCTCGTTGGAAATGGTAGCGTCAGTCCTTTGAAATTCGCAACATGGCTCGAAGTCATGGTCCGCACAGTAAGCAAAGCAACTCCAATCTCATATTATTGTTGTTGTTGTTGTTTTTATCAATTTCGATGAGAGTTTGTTTTGTTTTGGCTTTGGCTTTGGATTTGGATTTATTTGATTTGATGTTGTTAGCTGATGAACCTTTATGCAATGTGGAGATTATTACAGCAAATAATGCCTAAACATACTTGTAAAATTCTAAAGATGCAAATTTGGAAAAATTTCTCTGGTTTGGTTAAAATATTTTTCTCTAGTTTAAAATTGTGAACAAGTATAGAGAAATTTGGGCTAAAATTTCTCTAGTTTGGTTAAAATTTCTCAAGTTTGGTCACAACAATTTTCTTTGGTTTAAAATCATTGTGCTAAAACTTCTTTGGTTTGATTAAAATTTCTCTGGTTGAGTTAAAACAATTTTCTCTGGTTTAAAATTGTGAACAAACACAAAGAAATTTGTGATCAAAGATGTTTGGTTCATTTTTTAGAACTTGTCTTTTGAATTTTTTTTTTTTTGAAAAATTAATAACTAGTTTGAGGTTCTTTCTCTTGTTAATACTAAGGTTCTTTTTTTAGAAAGAAATTCCCATAATTTCTCTGAAGAGAAATTCTTTGGGAAATCCAAAATTTCTCAATAAATTCTTTGGGAAGTTCAAAAGGTCTTTGGAGATTATTTCTCTAGAGAATGGGAAATCTAGGAATTTCTATGGGAAGTTCAGAGAAATTCTCTAGATTGATGTTGAGGATCTTAGATATTATAAATACGTTAGATGTCATTTATGCTATAAAATCTTAATATCAGGGACTCTAAAAAAAATTCCCTATCTTATATTATGATATGTGTTACAAAAGAATAATATTAATTTTAATTTAAAATAAATTTTAAATTTTAAATATTTATTTTAATAATCTTAACCTTATCGTTCTATAAAAGTGTTACTTGAAATTGAAAATGGAGAGAGACAGAGAGAGAGAGTATTTGAAGAGGTGGGAATGGAGGGAAAAGGGGAGAGATATTATGTGGATTCTTTGGTGTCATTCAGGTCATGATATACCGTTGAAATTTTTTGAGGAATTGATTTGAGATTGTGTAGTGCATAAAGGGACGGTGATAGATGTACTCACAAGTAACGGATGATGTGTATGGTTCCGATAGTGAAACTGTTACAGTTAGTTAGTTATTGTATTGCTGTGTGATGATGTGATTCTGTTATTAGTTGTGATTAAATCACCAGCAGGTGAGCAAAGTCTAGTAGGCCATGAATTTGATTGGACCACAGGTTACCTTGGGTTTAATTTTCTGAAAACTTATATATATATATATATATTAAATATAAATTAATATTAAGACATCAATAAAAAAAATAAAAAATAAAAAATATAAAAGAAAATTAATTTGATCCATGCGATGCATATAATTAAGTATATTTTGTTTTATTTATTTATTTATTTGTATATCGAGATAATTTTTTTTAAAAAAAATCATAATAATTAAATTATAATTATATATATGAAAAATAAATATTTCTCAAATAGATTCTATATAAAATTGGTTATTATAATTAAAATTGAGTTTATGTAGAACTTTATATATAAATGAATAAAGTATCCTAATGTAACTTTTGAAAATATGTTTTAGAATGTGACACATAAGAAAGGGAAAAATACTACTTATATATATATGATGGGATGTTTGTTTTGAAAACTTGATAATTTAGAATGATAAACAAATACATATACGTCGTTTAGTAACGTTGTTAGCTTCTTTTTTATTTTTATTTTTAAAGAGTAGGACATTTTTAATGAAAAATAAAAATAAAATTTGTTTAGTGTATAAAAATATTTTAAAAAATAAAAACAAAATAAATTTGAGAAATATGTTTGGCGAGTTGGCAATATTGTGGATAGGAGTAGAGAGTGCCTAGAGTGTTGCTAATTGGTTGGAGGGCTACTAAATGGTGGAGGAGCTCATAAGCGGTGATTGTTTGATAAGCAGAGCTCGGTGGCAGATGGTGGTGCTGAAGGTTGGTGGTAGTCCATGCTAGTCATGGATGGTCATTGGAGATGGTAGGAGATGGAGAAAATAGTGAAAGTAAATTTTGAAAATAAGTAAAACACATTTTTTTGGGGGGCATTTACATACAAGTCCCATTTTGTGAACTTATACTCCATTAGGTACTAGATAAAATTATTTGCTCCTTCAAGTCCCATTAATTTTTAATAGACCAATTTACCCATCCAAACCCCCTTCTTTCTCAGTACAACCGCCGCTGCCGCTGAACTTCACGGTGGAACACAAAACCACACTTCTTTTCTCTCTCTCTCTCTCTCTCTCTCTCTCTCTCTCTTCTGTTTTCTTCGTGACTGTCACAGTCATTGACTGTGAGGAAGCAACGGCGGGTTCAATCGCCCGTCGCCGACGAGTTCATTTCTCAATCCGGCGCTTACTTCGATCTGTTCAGTGAGGTTGTTTTCTAGATGTCAGTGTGCTAGGGTTCCAAATAACAATTCAATTGTATTATCTTTTCTCTCTCTCTCTCTGTCTAGCTTGTATGCAACACATACATATACATATATTTGCATGCTGTATTAAATTATGTGTAAATGTTGTCTCATATTTATCCGTTTCATCGTTCTATTCAAGCATATCCACCTCTCTTTCTCTCTCTCTCTCTCTATATATATATATGTATAATCGTTGATTTCTTGTTTAATTGTTGATTTCTCTCGACTGCTACTGTCTCCACCACCACCACCACCGTCCTAAAATCATTGTCATTCGGCCACACCTGGTTCACCGTCGTATCTGCATTGGATTGGTGTAATTATGCCAATGCAGCTACTCCGGCGGTGTTGCCAAAGTTGTCGGGGTTGATCTCAGGGTCGCCAAGCCAGGATCCGAGAGCGTTATTGAGCTACGCTTTGCCTATTGACAATAAAGCTATAAGGGAGGTTCAAGCCACTTGAAGATATCACTGACAGTCTCAAGATTGCTGGACTCAAAGCACTTGATTCTGTAGAAAGAGTATGAATTTGGTTTTGTTTGTGATGATAATGAATTAGATCATCAATGGTGATGTAGAATTATGTTTTTGTGATTTGTAGAATGTGAGGCAAGCCTGTTTTTGTAGAGAGAGAGAGAGAGAGAGAGTGAGAGTTTTTTAAAATTGAGAACCTTCTCAGTTTATAATATTCTCAATTTTAATCATGAAAAAATTAAGAAATTTCTCAAAATTGATAATTATAAATTTCTTAGAATATTCGTAGAATTATCTTTCTTTTCTACCCCATACTTTTCTCAGAAGCCAAACAGAAATATTTTAATTTTGATAATTATATACTGAAATCATTCTCTGTTTGAAAATTGAGAACATTCTCAGTTTTGGGATTAAAGGGCAAAACGTCTTTTTACCTATAAATGAGACTTATTGGTTCAATTTTTTTTTGACAGGACCTAAGCTACCACCAAATATGTAAACAAGACTTTTTGGTAATTAACTCTTTTTTTTTTCATTTCTAATTTCTTTTTTAAATTTTGGAATCAATTCTAATTTTTTTTAAATAAAAATAATTTCAAACAAGTTTTTATTTTAAATTTTTTTTAAAAAATGAAAACAAAAACATTATCAAACCAGCACACACAGGGTGGCTTTGAACCATTACCACATAATTCAAAATTAAAAGAGTTTGTGTGAAATTTTAAGAAGTATCTTTTTCCATCCAAAATTTGGATTAAAGGGTATTGTTTAGCCTCATAGGGCTCAATACGGCCCTGTAGCACTTGTATCCATTAAAAATTTTGGGAAGTATATTTGAATCATTTATTTTATTTTGAGAATCTTTGGTGTTGTTGTATCTTGATTTTAGAGGAGTACAAATTGATTTAAACTTGTTGAGATTGTTCATTCACGCTTATTTACATTGAAAAGTTGTTTGGAAACTTAGAAATTTTGTTCTGGGGTCGACACCAGTCTTGGTGGTGTTGACACTTGCCTTTTGTTGTTGGCCTCAAGGGTCGACACTAGTCTAGAAATGGTCGACCCTTGTCTATTGCAGAATCTGAAGTTTGCTTGCTGAAATTTAGTGTCGACACCAGTCTCGGAAGTGTCGACACCTTGCCTGCTACACACATTAGTATCTCAGCTTTTTTTCCTGAAAGGTCAACACCTCTGTCTAAAGGGTCGACCTGTGTATAATTTCAGATTTTTGGGTCGATTTGGGCCCTACTTTTTGGGGGTTTTTGACTTATTCTTTTCATTTGAGTTTGGGGCTATTGTTCTATTAGTGCCTAGCCACTATAAATAGGTTCTAAAACACTTTCCTCTCATTACTTTTCCTTCTCTTTTCCTCTCAAACCGTGACTTCTCTTTTCTCTCTCTAAACTTAACTTTTTCACACTAAGATCTTCAGATCTACTTACCTAGAGCCATCTTTTCACCTTGGTCTTTTGGGAAAGGTTGTAGATCTTGTCATGGGCTTTCTATTGATCTGAATAGTTAGTGATTTCATCGCCGATGATTTTTGGGTTATCTCATCTTCGCTTCAAGAGGAAGGGATTTCTTGCTCCTCTTTAATATTTCGTCTATGGATAGATATGTGGTAGATTTTTATTGCATAAAAGCCATGTATATTGGAGTTCTTTTTGAAAAATCATATGAGAGATATTTAGGGTTTGTTACTTAGGGTTGGAAATCATTACATAAATTGTTATTTGAGTTCTTTGGGGAGTAGTTTAGCATGTTGATGTTGAGAGGGAGAAAAATATCTAATTTAATATTATAGACTTAATGGATTAAAGATGAGAGAAAGTTGTGTAATATTTTGTGTTTGAATATATAGATTGTGTAATGGTGTTAATTGATAAAATAGTGGATTAACCATGGTACTGCAATTATTTTTCATTAATCATGTTAAATTGAGTAGAGCTATGGCTTTGACATTCATGGATTTTAGTTTTCTAAAACAAAGGGAATGGATTTTGGTTTTGCAAAATAAGGAGAATGGATTTAGTTTTG